CCCCAAAACCCCAAAACCCCAAAACCCCAGGCATCATCCATTTTATAAAATTTACTAATATGAATAAGCGGTAATCTCAAAGGATGATTCCATAGATCGAGGCATAACCAGAGCCAGGAGTTCTTCCGATCAAATACCCAGCCACTTGATCTTGAGAAGTACAATTTTAGAAAGTTTCTGAAGAGCAAAATTCATTTCCAGCGAAAAGACAAGAAGAGGATCAAAGAGGAGATGAACAAGTATTTAGAAAGCAGTAAATGTAACCATCTAAAATTTCTCCTTAACAATTTGACAAACTTTTGGCAGATTTATGACTAAATCTACTTGGTCAGAATATATTTTACAAGAGTTGTAGATAACCTCAAATTGAACTGAGACCTCCCTCATCCATACACGTGCTTCCAAAATAAAGCCAAGATCACCAGGAAGTTCTCTGAATTACCCAAGTTTGTGAAAGTGCAGTCAGAATCATCAGAATCTCTACAGAACACTACTTTGTCAAATATTTTCTTTAAAAAGGAGTCAGATTTCAGGCTCCAGAGGAAGCATTTATCGATGAGCCAGATTTACAAAGTTCGCTAAGCCTTATTGTTTAGAGAAGCAAAAGTAATGATTATACCATTAACAAAGGGAGCGGGTCATATCATTCGAATCACAGCAACTCTTCAGATATTAAGTGTAATAATTTTGATCAAAATAACTACTGTAGTGTTTTCTAAACTGAAAAATAACCAATCTGACTCAAGCCTTAAAGGACCAATATTGATCAAAGATTTCTCCAAGGAGGAAAATAAAGGTATTTTTTGTAAATAATCTGTAGACTTAGTCCTGGATTTAAAGACTCCTAGTAGAGTGAAGACTACTTCAAAGAATATTAAAAATCAGCGAAGGACGCTAAAATTTCAGAACTCCTAGCGATTTGCATAACTCTCAAATCTATCAACCAATAAAATCAAAGTCAATGATCTTGATTAACAAATCCTACAGCCCTTATTTGTCAAGGAATCCTTTTGAGAATAACAGGTTCATGGGTTTCAAGAAGTTCCTGAAGAAGCCCATCAAGATGTCAAAGATAGTGAATATCCTCAGGTCACCTGAAAAGGTAAAGTTTCTTACGTTTTTAAAAGAAAAGTAAAGATATTAGGATTTGGGAGAATTTAATACGTTTTAGAAATATTGGCTTTTCAAGGTTAGGAGTGAAGATAGAAGGTTTTAGAGGTGTTTTTATGAGTTGGAATAGAGGGTTAGAGTAGGGGAGGGTCAAGAGGTGGAAGAGATTTGGAAGTGATTTTGAGAAATTAAGAATTTCTGAAATATTTTTTGATTATTTCTAAGTTTTTGTTAGTTTTAATCTATTATATCAGAGAATTAAATCTAATGGGGTTTTGGGGTTTTGGGGTTTTGGGGTTTTGGGG